AGTTAAAAATATTTTCTAAATATCAGCAAAACACATTCAAAGGCTCTGCCAGGCCACGCACTTTTAAAACAGAAGAGACAGGACACAGCTGATGCTTGCCCAATTGTGTGCTTTCAGAAATTCCATACTTAATACCTAACTGCATCTGTGGAAGGTAGGCAAGAGAAATCTGGATTCCTTGTGTTCTCTGGCTGGATTGTCTGGTCCTTGTAGAGCATGGTTGCATGGTCTGCATGGTTGCAGGTCAGACACCCTCTCATCTATTAGGAACAGCATTGACATAAGCACAGTTTTTGCAGAGCAGCCTTTTCCTCAGCAGAGCCACTAAAGTCACCTCTCTCTCCTGCTGTTGAGATTTTTTTTTCTACCCAGCCATCCACTCCCATAAAACCTGGAGTAGCTTTATATCCCTGGGGCAGCAGCTGCCCTGCAGCATTTGACTGAAGCAGAGCAAATTGTCCAGGACTGAGGCTGAAGAGCAGACTTGCAGATGAAAAGACATCACATAAACATCATGTCCTTAAGAAAGTGACTACTAGATAATTGGAATAGACTCTTTTCCCTCACAATTTGCTAGCCTGAAGCCCTCAGTTATAGAATGTGATACAGAGATAATATATCTTAGGGAGTTAATTTGTTCTGACCACTGCCTGTATCATTTCTGGGCATGAATCAGTTAGTTATTTCCTTTTCTCCCTTCACATAGAAGCTCTCTGATCATTGGCATACCCATTTATCTAACCTACACAGCTGATTCCACTTTATAGCTGAAAGCCATCAAATTGATCAAGGTTTACAAAAAAAAAATTCTGCTTTTTTTTTGCAAATAGCTAGGTAGATATTAGGACTTAATCTGGAAGTTAAGTGAAGTAATAACACCAAAATTTCTTAACTAGAATATCATAAGTGAGAGGGATTCATGGAGGAATGTGCTGTCAGCCAGCTTGGAGGATGAGGATCAGTAAAACAGAGAAATAAAAAACTCAGTGCAGAAAAGATGGGGGAAACTGCAGCAGGATTTTGCAGAGGCTGGGGAAAGGAAGCTGCCAGGTGATGAGCTGAGGAGGAGGAGAAGGAGGAGGAGGAAGAGAGACCTGAGAGAGACCAGAGGAGAGTGTGTGCAGAAATTCAGGAAAAGGCCTCACAGTGCAAAACTTAAGCCAGGCCAGCTATTCCCAGGGACAAGTGGGGTTTGTTGGGGCACTGGGTGCGCACAGGAAGGACACCCATGCTGGCCACGTGCACCTTGTGTCCAAGTCTCAGCGCAGTGGTGGCTGCCCTGTGCAGGACAGAGCTCATGAAGACAAGGGGAAAAGATGGAAAGAATGAAATAAAGAGTTGGGAAATGAATGACCTTGGAGAGGTGAAAATTCACTGAAAAAGGTGGAAAAGTGGGAGGGTAGAAAATAGTGTGTAAAGAATGTGCAATATATTTGAGCATGTTTTTTATAGCTCAAGGAATTGCTTCCATTTTTAAGAAAAAAATTGGCATCTTCATTATGACATACCTCTTTCTATAGATTTATAAATTCAGCTCTCCACTCGGAAAGACTTGCTGTCATATAACTTGAAGCCTTTTTGAAATCTACCATAAAATACAGCACAGCATCTATAGGTGATAAAAGGAGGAGCAGTAAGCCTTGTGCACAGGACAAAACTCAGTCACAAAAGTCATCTGACCTTTCTGTTTGGCACAGCCATACATTTCCACGTCCCAAGTTAAAAAACTGTTGGCTCCCTGATGTGCCTGCAATTCTTCTTTCAAAATAACATATATGCAGCATATTGCAGCTTTCCAAGACCTGTGGCAAAGCAATTAGAAAGAAAATTGGTGCATTATCGATTGCAAACTTAGCATGGTCTTAGGCAGTTACTTACAATGATCAGACTGCTCCCTTTCTCTCCACTAATTTTCTGCTCTAGTAATCAAGGAATAACTTTGGATTAAAGACAGAGTGTATTTGACAACTTTGTTACCCAGTTGCTGTGCTCAGGAATTCAAATGTATCTCATATGTCAGGGAAGATTTTTCCTGATGCTCTTTTTCTGGGAAACTTAGGAAGCTTGCTGTCGCTATCTCAGTGGTGGCTCCACAGAATGCACTCTGGTCAAGCTGATTTTCATGACAGTAAGATGTCTTTTTTTCCCTAGCTGGCAAAACTCTCTTTCTTCCCACACTGTTAAAACAGAAACATGAATAAAGAGTTTCCAGGCTCATTTACTGGATGCTGTAAAGGAGCACACAATCTGCAAAGAGTAAAATAGTTACTGCCTTTAACTGAGCTTTCCTGCTAACCTACTCTACATAAGACACAAACAACGCATAAAATTCTACTTAAAACATAAGCTGTTATTATCAAGCAAATGAAAAGATAAGTTGCCATTCTTCATCTCAATGAACTGTAAAAGAATGCTAAAACTTTAATGAACCTCTACACAGCTGATCCAGCTAAAAGTATGCTTCTGAACATGCTGTTCAGATGAGTACTCCTAGAGTTCCTCTCTAGTGACAGTGCTTATGGAAGTGGAGATATTTATTTACAAGTCCTTAGCACTACATTTCCAGAGTTCTTAGAAGACCAAGGAAACACTTTATCCACCAAGCTGAAAAATCACCATTCTCTGATGATTTGACCATATATGAAATGAAAAGCAGAGCTGAGTTCATGCTGAAAAACTCACTGTGTTTCATTGCGCCAAAGGGTATATCTGGTCACTGGCTCTAACTCAAAGAAACAGAGACATTGACTTTTACCCAAACTGTGGAGAACATCACAAGATTTTTAGGTAGTCAGTGCTTATATGAATCTGCATGGGATTTTTCAACATTTCTTTATATAGCCTACCACTACCAGAAAATAAAAATCCATCTAGATAATATGTTTTGGATACTGAGTGAGAGGAGATACTTCTTGCAGTTGTTGAAGACCTATAAACAATTACTCCATCCTCACTAGCAGAAAATTCTTCAGGGGAGGGCATTGAATAATACATGTTTGCACATGCAAGTAATGCAATGTAAAGGTTTGATAAGAAAAATCTTAGATCTGCAGACTTTAGAAGACCAGCTCTTCAGTGGCTTATGGCAGACCCTAAAGCAATCTACACACTGCACCAACAGGGTCAGTGGAGTGGGTCAACTGGACAGAAATGGGCAGTCTCCACTAGCAGTTATTTTTCTGATGAGGAAAGAATCTCCTCATTGACCCCCTATGGCTGACCCCCAGAGTACCTTGGAGCACACAAATCAATTTTTCTCAGATGACCCCAGGCCAGAGATCAGCCCACCCAGCACTGCAGCCACTCCAGAGGCTGCAGAGGAGCTGGCCTGCAGCACACTTCCCTCCTCTGCTTTCTTCAGGTCTCCATTTGGAAACACCAGCTGCCTCCTGCTGTGCACTACAAGATAAGTGGAGCCAATTGACCCCAGGCCCTACAGATCTGACTGATGAGCTAGGAAGACAAAGATGGCAACGTGGACCATTGCTCTTTAGTGGCTACAGCTCCCCAGCCCATAAGTGTACTGGGCACTAAAAATTGACACATCAAATGGAGAATGTTGTTAGTTGGGATGTTGAAACCCAGGACATTCCTCTGGCTGCCCTGGAGGACTTGAGATCCTGGCAGAGGGCTCAGAGGCCTTGGCACGGAGTCAAAAACACCTGTGCCTTTGATTTTAACCCATGGAAACAATTACCAACTTCGTGTGAGGAGTTACGAGCCACAAGAGTTTGAGTAGAATGTTAGTGAATTTATCACCAAGTGAAAATGTAGAATTTTGAGATTTTAAAATGGCGGTTCAGGAGGCAAGATGGAGGAATCTGGGCATGTCCATCTTTCTCCTTCTCCTTCTTGGCCTCCATCTTCTGCTGTGATGGTGGCACTTCTGAATTGGTTTAGAGTAGAGAAAAACTGTCTAACATAGGTAATAGGTATTGAAAAATTGTTGTAAATAAAGTACACATAGTTTTTTATAAAAGATAACACTGCCCTGAGGGCAGACAGTGTGCCTCAACCCTGACCTGCCAGACAGACTCAGCGGGTCGGAGAAAAAATGTTATAGATAACAAATAATAAACGACCTTGAAAAGCAGAGAAGGAATCTCATCTTCTTCTTTGGTCTTGGGGCTGGGAAAAAGAGACTTTCTAACACCTCAAGGTCATCTTGACACCAGAGACCTTGTCATTGGACAGGTATGTAGTGAGTTCATATGGCTGTTTCATCAGTGTTGTTCTTTTCTACTTTTGCCCTGGTTTATTTTACTTTTCAGTCAGCAGAAAATGCAGCAGCTGCCATTCCAAGAAGAGCCCTGCATGGAGTCCCTGCCTCTCCCCATAGGGTCAGTGGCAGCAGAATCCTTTCCAGGGTCAGGCTATGGAAGTGCTTGGAGAGAAAGCAGGGGGAAGCCAATTCCTAAAGATCTGCCTCGTGTCTGTCCCACTGCAGAACCCCTCTCTAAGTGAACTTTATTTCTCTTTCAGTTCTACAAACTGCTGCGACAGCAGAGGGAGGCTTGTAATACTGATATTTATTCTCTCACAGCAATGTCCACACAGAGTTTGCTTACTCAAGCATTGTACATGAAGGGTCCAGCTCTGCCTACAATGCTGCAGCTGTATCAAGAGAAAGGAGATGTGGCTTGCTCGCCCTTTGTGTGGGATGGCACAGCAGTGTTTGAAGAGGCCTCTGTTCTCTCTCAAATAATAGCCCTGACAGCTCATTCAGAGTACTTGATAGGGACAGCATCAACAGAGGATGATGCTAGCTCTGAACCTGCTAGTACTGTGCTGGAACACAGAATTTTGCTGTTTTTCTTGGAGTTTTTCAGTTTCCTAGTGGATGTTGTTCACCATAATGTCATCAAAGGTATTGTCTGAAGAAAAGAAAAAAGGAACCTGCAAAAGTATCACATGTACAACAACAACAGCAAAAAGGGCTAACAACTTCCACACGACAGTAAAAACAGCTTAATAATTTATTTGGCAAGAAGAACAGGACTGAAGCAAATAGAACCCATTTTCTCAGAGGTGATTAAACAGAAGTGTGCTGCAGGTACAGTTAAGCACAGTTAAGGTTTCAAGCACAGCTGTCAAAGCTTGAACATTGGCTGTTCCCCAGTGTCTGTGTCCTTATCTTCTCCTACAGTATCTGAACAGTGCAGGTTCACTTCAAATTAAGCTGTTTCCAAGTAGCCATGCTCCCTGAAATGTGAAAGTTTACATTAATGGCTTTTGCTTTTTCTCAGATTGGTCAAATAATGACATATCCTAAGAAGAATTTTATTTTTATTAAAATTACTTGGTTTTACTGGCAAGAACTCAAAAAGAAAAATGTAGCATAACAAAAGATCGACTCTGGTCCTGAAATGACCTAGGCATTTCTTAACTTTCTTACAGTTAATACTTCATAATCCCTTGACTGCTAGCTAATTTAATTTTTGTGCTAGAAAAAAAAGAAAAACAACTGAAAATGAATGATTCATTTTTGTGTTGAAGGGATTTTATTTTTTAATATCACTGGTGAAGACAATTACTTGCAGCCTTCTTAAATGGTAGAACTATATAATAGGACTTGAAGTATTAATACAAATTAATGCGGTCACAATTGCTCTCATTTACTCCTTTTGTCAACAATATGAGTAAGTGATTAAGCTATTTTCTATTATATTTTCCTTTCAGCACAGGAACATATAATTTTTGAAAATATATTTCTTCAATCTTCACTGACAGAACAGATATATAATTTTTGGCAAATCTACCATTGATCTTTGACCCAGACTTGAAAGACAGGATTACTGAAATAGTTAAGTTACTTTAGATTAAGATAGCAACCCTTCTTAGACAGACAATTTAAAAAATCTATCAGAAATCACTGATAATTTTGCTATTTATAGTTGTTATCCTTTTCATATCATGAGTAACTTGATTGCTTGCAACTGGTTCTCAGTTTTAAATGATCACGAATGACTCTATACGTGAATTCTTTTCAAAAAATAGCAGGCTGATCAGAACAGTGTAATGAAAATTATTTTGAGATGGAGAAAGAAAAATTTATCAATTTTTGTGATGATGTCACAAAAGCATCATTTTCTTGGAATTTCTGAGAAAGTTTTTGTGAGAAAACTTTTCTTTGCATTGGAGAAAATTCTCTATAGTACTAATTTAGACTCTTTTCCCCTTCTAGAAAAATCCAATCAGTAGGAAGTGTTCTCTATCTTTTTCTACTTATAAGATCCAACACAGTATTTTATAACTCTTCCATTGTATCTTACTACCCATAAGCCAAAAAGGAAGAAACAAAGACAAGTTTTCATGAATTTTTAAGTGAAATTATTATTTCAGAAACATAAGAACTTCACTTAGGCGGAACTTAACATTATCTTGGAAATACAATGCATTTTCTGTGAGTTGATATAAACATGTCTAAACACAGCTGAAGGGAGGAAAGGACAAGTGATCTCTTGTGTACATCCCAAATCCTCAGATGGCATTTGCTATATTTTATGGTTCAGTATTGCTGTTGGAATCTCAGTAGACACTATTAAAAGAGATCAGTTTTCAATATTTTAGATTTGGGTATGCAAGAATGCTGTAGGAAGCTGCTAAGCAGAATAGCAAAGCCAGAGAAGTCAAATGGGCTTTTTACTCCTGAATAGTTTTTATATGGCATTGCAATCTGTTCTGTTAAAAATTAGATCACTTCAGACAAATTTATAACATGAAGGGGAAGACAGTATTTAGTAAAGAGAGAAAACAAAAGAAGATACCAGACACAATACAAATATGAGGGGTTTTTTTCCCCAGTAAAATTTTCATTGAAAACAATTGTTTGACATGATGGATGAAGGATCCTGAAGTTTTAAAATCACACAATTCCAATCTCTTGGAAAAATTAGTCTCACTGCTAATATTGTTATAACTTCTGTGTGGATTGTACAAACTTTAGGAGTCAAGTAACATGCTTTTGGTCTCCCAGGATGACATTCTGAAGTAGGATTTTAGGATTAATCTTCTCTAAATAATTCAAAAATATTCTTTCCCACAGAAAGAACAACATGCAAAGAAATGGTGCAGGCAGTTGTACAAACCATGGAATATTCAATTCAATGAGTTCTCCACTACTGCAATGTGTTGAAGGTGGTGGATATGATAATTACACAAAAAACTGAGACTCAGAGTTGTTTAAGACATTTAAAGTCAAGAACACATTAATTTTAAAAGAATATTCACTAAGCTGGACTGACTAGGGCTGGTGTTGGTACATCAGGGTTTCCAGCTTTCCTTTTCTGGGCTGTTGAATACAGGTAGGTGACTCCCAAACAATCTTTTCATATCTAAATCAGCATTCATTATTAGTGCTCTTTACCATCAGACAAGGAAATGTGCATGTGGAAGAAAACAGCAGCAGCTGTTGAGCAGCATCCACATTACTGTGAGATCTGATATGAATGGGGCAGGGAACAAGGGTTGCAATAGCAGGGTAAGGCTCTCACATTCCTTGAAAACACCTGCACGATCCACAGCAGATCTGATAGGTACTCCCCAGCTCTTTTTAATCTGCTTTACACCCACAGGATTTTCTTTTAAACTCACAACAATAATTTGCTGCTTCTAAACAACTCCCTACTTTGAAAAGCATATTCAACCAAGTTGTAATTATTGTTGTTTTGAGGGCTGCAGGTTAAAGCAGAATAAGATTAATCCCCTTTGGTTGAAAAAACAATTTATAGTGTAACTACAAAATATTTTTTGCTAAATAAAAATATTAAACAAGATTGAAATGTTAATTGCTAAAAATGTTTTCATGTCTGCTGCTTGGGGACTGTATTCTGGGAGCTTGAATCATAATAATTAAGGTATTTCAACTTTTTGGATTCCTTCAGTATCAGGTAATGGGCCACAGCAACAGAAAGTGTCCTAGCAGCCCCAGATTTATCTAGGAAACAATTCCATAGCCAGTGTGAAGAGGCTGGTAAATTCAAGGAGAGCAAGAACAAGGGGGTGCATTGCAGGGCTGTGATATGTGTGTTTCCAGGCACCTCAGCAATCCACAGATGTGTAAGGACAGGACTGGCTGGGGAGCCCTCATTCTCAGGAGAATCAAAATAAATTTGGAAGAACTCCTTCTCCCCCTAATTTGTATAAGTATAATTTAGAACTAGTAGCCCCACACATTTCAGTGGGAATTGTTCTACACAATACAAACTTAGCTGAACCTTAACAGATGTTTTGCCTATAAATATTCAAATGTACCTGGGATAGGCTGGGATTTGGTTGGGAACAGCTAAATCAGTTTTCTCATGCTGTCAGCACTTAAGATCTAGAAGGAGAGGAGAATGTATGAAATGAATATTCTCCAGTGTACATACAGGCTGGCTGCTGGCTAAGATGCATGGGTAGCAGAACAAATTCAGATTAAAGTGCAATATATATTGACCAGCTGGAGCAGCAAGCTTTGCAGACAAGTGTAAGGTTTTCTTTAGAAAGAGGTTTAAGCAGGAATGGAGTCATACAGTCCAGACCTGCAGGCATCTTCTCAAGGCACTGTTGAAATAAAGGAGCAGCAAGCCAAGTAAAGGACAACTTGCTGTTGGGCAGGGCAAACTGCAAGTGTTGCAAACTCAATATGAAGAGATCCAGTCAGGCATCTTTTGTTAAGAGGAAAAGATTAATGCTCTGGTTTGAATTAATATGAATGGATATGCCCAGAAATCCTGTTCTGAAGAAAAAACCTCAGTGCAAAATGTGTAAAACCTGTGTTACATGTCTAGCGGCACTGCTGAAGGAATCAGAGTTACTCCAAAGTTTAAGTCCCACTATTTACATTTCAGACATGGGTTTCAGCAGACTGTAGTGAGCCTAGGAGCCTGCAGGACTTACCCAAAAACTATGCAAGTGACCAGAAATATCCCCAATGGTTTAAATGGGTTTTGTTGAAGCCAAATAAGCCATGTCCAGACTCCAGAGCAAGTGTAGGACGACATGTGCATGTGTGTGTGTGCAGTGGGGAAGCAGCACATGCACACATCCTGCGGTGAAATTATAAAAGGAAGCAGCTGGTGAAATAACCCACAGAGATTTGGACTCCTCAGGGTAATTAATCTTGTGTAAAATATGAAGCTACAAAGACGGGAAAGCTAATATCACGGTAGAGTCATAAGCATCTGCCACTTGAACCTGACATGGCAACACCACAGCCTTAATTCTGGGTTTAAGTTATCAGTACATGTCAACAGCAGGCACTGCTTCAGTGAAATGCAAGACAAGAAAAATATGCTCCACCTGAATATCGACTTTAGCCTAATAAAATATTAAATAATCTACAATAACATCCCTAAGCCCTAAATAAGAAGTAAATTCAGCCCAAAATTAAATGCACAAACTTTATTTTTTACCATTTTTTCACCTTTTATTTCTGTATTGCCCTGTGGTTCAAGTTGATAATTTTGTTCTAGCCAATATTTTGCTAAAAATATTAAATGCACCAGAAAGAAGTAAAAATCTTGTACTTGTTCATAAACTTGATGAAAGTAAGGCACAATAGTCCTAGCTATACCCTGACAACTTATTCATTTCCACAGTTCCTTCTAAGTCTGGACTATTGAAAAATGGTGCTCCCAGAGAAGCTACATGGGCCACCTCTAACTATTGTGTTTACTATTTAATTTGTTTTTCTGAACTTTGGTAGGAAAACAGATTAGTCTCATATAAAGAACCGAAGAGAGCTACTCTTAGAAGAGTAGTTTTCTTTCTTCTCTTTGCAAAAATGGAAGTGCAGCAATGCAATGTAAGCCAAGCAACACTGTTTCTCCTCACGTATAAACAATTTTGCTTTGTTCATCTTCCAGTAAGCATATTGTGGGTACTTCCTAATCAAAGGCTCTCTCTTTTTCCCTTAAAATCAGTTTTTGAAAATGTCACACTTCTACAGGCTCTCCAAATCATGCATGAGAAAGCACCCAACATGTGCAGTTTTTTCTGATCTTAAAAACTCCTGCCTGATCTTAATTAAAAAAAACTACCATGAACAGCTAAAATTCAAAACGAGCTATGATTGCAAAATCCCTTTTCCATGCCAAACAACACCATCCTCTCCTCGAACATCAAAGCCCCACTGAGGAGATTGTTCTGTATGTGAGACAACAGACAGGATCTTGAAAACTACTGTTTGAAGAATGTGCTTATGCATCCTACATAAGAAA